GCTATTCCTTGAGAAGAAGGGGTCCACACCGAGGAGCTGGACAGTGAACTAGGTAAACCCTCCCAGCCTGCTGCTGCTGTATGACTTGCTCTGAACAGTTCTGTCTCCAGTGAATTGTTTAATCCCTCTGTTTCTTTAATTGGTGCTTCTCCAATTGTGATGTCCTTTCTGGCTTATCCATGGAAGGTCAATCTTACAACCCATGTGCCTGACTGCAGACATGATGCAGAGCTGTAATAAATTGCATCTACAAAGAAAAAGTCTGAGTGAATTGAGACTAGAACGAGAATTAGCAAATTGGTGCTAGGTATTGTAAGTTGAGGATTAAGGGAAAACTGAAGAGATAGATCCTTGTTGTGTCCCTTGCACTCTCTCATATAACCTATTAGCCTCATTTTTTAATTTGCTTAATGTGAGTAGTCATCTATATGGGTAATACAAAAAAAGCAAAGCAAAACAAACAAAAACCTACCAGACAAAATATAAGGATCTTTATAGGAGTAACAACAATACAATAATTTCTGAATAGTTAATGTCTTTACTATTGTGTTATTATTAAATCATTGGCCACAGGTGCATAACTGGCTTGCAAACCAGATGCTGGGTTTATATACCATTTTCCGGGTTTATATACCATTTTCCTTATACCAGATCCTGACTACTCTAGCTATTGTAGTTTAGAAATAATTTCCATTCGCAGGTAATGCCACACTCTTTTATCTTTGCTGTTGGAACGTATTGAATTATGTCCCCTGCTAAGTTAAATGTTTTACATTCAGTTTTGAACAGTGTTCATATTAGTTTGCATTCCATCTGATGCCTCTAGAGAAGGATAGATGGGAAAGCACAGGTTTTAGCTAAATTGCACATGAAAGCCGTAGCCAATTGAAGAATGACCATGATATATTTTTTAAATAGAAAATTGTTTAACATCAATATGAATGGAACTGTACTGAGATTATTGAATCAGCCTAGCATTTTTAAGATTGCCTTAAGAACTGAAAATATAAGTATTTAATACAGATTATTTTCATTCAATTTTGTTTTTGTTATATAGATAGAGATAATCATGGTTGACTAGAGTTATGATATAATAGAATTTAGCTCTGTTTTTCTTAATGTTTGGAGCATATTCTGTTGTAATGGATGGATATGCCAGCAATGGTGGGTAACTATTGGTAGACTTATTTTAAACATATTTAATAAGTTGTCCTTGTGGTCATTGTGGTAGAAGTGACTTGTGATTCAATCTATGTAATATAACAATCTGAAAGTAATTTATTTTTTAAAAATGTATCAGTCTACTGTTATTAGATTAATTGAAAAAGACAGAACTAGGTTTCCCAGACATAAAATGAGTACCTTAATCATTTGTTGAGCCACTTTAAACCACTCTTGTTACCTAACTAATATCTGTGAACTACTGCTGTCTGTAGGCAGCTGGTAGAGATAATATAACTGTGTTCAGGAGCGCACATTCATTTACTTCTATGGAAATTTGAATGTTGAAGTTTTTAGGAAAGAAATGTCTGTTTTCTTTTTTCCCATGTAACTGTAATATTATGGAAACTTTCCCATGCTGTTATGGACTCTAAAAATGTTTTAATGAGTGCATAATATCCCTTCTCATGGTCATAGCCACAATTCTGGGAGGTGGCTGGTGAAGTGGAGGAGCTATGTCTGGGGTCAGAATAGGCTGCCTGGCCTCACATTCGGGCTCCTCCACTTTTTGGCTTTATGAACTTGGGTGAGTCATTCACCTTCACTTAGCTTCCCTTTCCTTATCTGTAGAAAGGGACTGAAAGAGGAGCTCCCAAGGTGCTTGTTGAGGAGACTTAGTTAGAATGTACCTTAATATTTATCCCTGTGATCAGTTCATATTGTTTTACCAGTTTTATCATTCATTCATTCATTCATTCATTCATTCTCTTGTTGGACTTTTCAGTACTTCTTTATGGTACGTTCTGCCTTTAATATGGGGCAGAAGAGGAACATGTATACTATAGAAATGGCCCAAATGTGTCCTTGTAGGTAGAGTAGAGATAGGACTCTTTATTTTTGCCTGCATATGTCCACTGTTTAAAGAGTGGTGTGCATACATGTTTATACACACACACACACACACACACACACACAGAGTTTTCTTTTACATTCATTCCAGATTCTTTTGACAAGTTCATTGCCCATTTTCATAATTAGAGGGTCCTAATTTCAAACATTAGCAACTCTCAAGTTTTCAGTGAACAATACAATTCCAGATGTGATAAGGAAACCTTTACTATAAAATGCCTCTGAAAAGGGGCTGTCGGCATGGGTGTTGGGCACAGGTCATTTGATTACAGAGTTGTCGTTTCTGAACTCTGTTGTTTGAGCTGGGTCAGTGACTCTATTATGCACTTCTGGTTTGCAGAATTCATCACATCCTCTGTAGTCTTCTTCCCAGAACTGAAAAGCACTCGCAGTATCTTCTTTTGGAATTATGGGTTATTCATGTGCTGAAACAAACTAAGAGAGGTAGAGACAAGAAAATGAGGTCTCTTGCCAACCAAAACTAAGTTACAGTTTTGAAATTTATCCCTGATTATGGACACGACTTTCAATCTGTGTGCTGACAAATCCCTTTTGAAAAGAATTTAGAACATTTGTCTGCAGCACATTTGCTTCTGTGGTGACAATCAGTATAGTATGAGATTTTCAGAGACAAGAATAGCAAGCAAACAGACCATACAAATCTGTCCTACTCCTTTTGTGCTTTCCTAGAACAGTTGCTTTTTTTTTTTTTTTTGAGCCTATGTGCTAGCCGGGTGCTGTGCATCCTCATTTACAAGCATCCTCATTTAATCTGCAGTTGACCTTTGAGGTAAATCCTAGAGAAGGATGTGATTCCAAGATGTTAAGAAACTAACCCAACTCCAGACATATGAGGTGGTAGAGTTAAGGTTCGATTCTAGATCTGGGCAACCCCCAAAGAGTCTTAGCTGCCTGAAATCTCTGTGACGGGTTATATAGCCTGTTTTGAAGTCTGACGGTTATTAAAGAAGGTGGAAGGGGGAGGAGGGATTATGTGTCTCTTTAGGCATCTTCATAGTATTTAGCAAAAAAAGAAATGTAATGTCATCTTTTTCTGAGCTTCAATATTTTCTGCCATTTTCAGTTATTTAGATTGAAATAGCAAATTGGAGGACAGACATCTTTTTTTTAAATTGATGATCCATTTCTATTTTAAGCATTAGGAGACTAATTCCTATTATTAAATTAATCACTTTGAAATTGAGAAATCTGTCTTTTCAATTTTAAATGTTTCAGGTTGAAAAACTGAAAAATTTTTGCAATTTGCTAATCTGATCCAGAAGATGTGTTTACATTTACAAATGCTCAGATGCACTGGTTGACCGACCTCATTCTTTGCTGACTGCATGGCAGGACCAAGTCAGAAGCACCTTCTTTTCTTGTCTTGCGCCCTTCTCGGGCCTCCACCAAAGCACCTACCACGAGGTGTTTGAATAGTCCGCTCAGATGGTGCAATTGCAATTATCTTTGCGTCCTGGTGCCTGGCACAATCTCAGGGAGACAATAGGCACTCAATTAATGTTTGACAAGTTAATAATAGAATGAATTGAATTCTTAAAGTTTTCTCTATATTATCTAAAGATAATAGGGCCAAATGTTTAAGATTGCAGCTTTTGAAAAGAGATTTGGTTCATTAAACATGATGTGGTCCCCTTACACTCACCAGTTTTTCTGCCCCATGCCAGAACAAATATATGACTATGCACCAATTTGCATTTTTTTAAATCTTCGATTTCTCAACTCTTTGGAAATATTTTTCTGGTTCATTTTAATTTAAATGGTAATTTCCAGCTTCGTAAGGGGAAACCATTTCTCTGGCATTTGATTTGCATTCGTTCTCAAGACTCTGCGTATAAAAATACCAAGTTGTATCAACATCTGCAAAGTGGACCTGTCTTGCGTTTTAGTAGCTTATGTCTCCCAGAATTCAGAGACTTCTTTAAAACCTGCTAAGTGGGTTTCTTTTTTTTTTTTTAATGAAAATAAAAGGAAGAAAACCTTGTTTCTTTGTTCACAAATGTATAACATGGAGCAAAATCTATGAAATAAATGTGTCTTGATGTCCCCCCCAAATGTGAACAATAAATAAGCATTAAACAATTAGCCTGTGCGTGGGTACACGCGTATGACTCCATATTAGTATGAAACTATTTGAGGCATATGTAAACCCTATGCCCTGATGAAACATTCACTATTTGAAAATATTGACCACATGATTCCTTGAATTAAAAAAAAAAAATTCTAGTATTTCAGAGTAAGCGATATTTGTAATATATTTCATTCAAGTTGGTCTTAATAGCTACTTCCAGGAATAACAATTCACTTTCGAGTACTGTATTATACAATCTTCCTTTAATTACGTCTGTATCTGGGTGGCTTTGAAATTTAAATTGATTGATTATTCTCTTCCTGAAAGAATTGTTTAATGACACAAAACATAGCTGCTTCTTTTACCAGGTCAAATTGCCTAGTGCAATGGGTTTTTTCACAATAGATCCTTACTGTAACAGAACTCACTGTTACTTAGTTAATAAAGTTCCAACCTTTGATAGGAAACCTTACAAAGTCAAGTTTAGTAGACTACAGTTGAGTTTTCAAAAAGGCACATATATTCCCCAATCCCATTTTACCATCACATTTAAGGGAATAAATTCTAGTGAGTTCGTGGAGAGCAGGACCTGTGTTTCTGCTTTCATAGGCAAACTGCTGGTGAAGATGCGTGGGTTTAAATATAGCAATTGGGTGACAGATGTGTGCAATTCAAAAACCCAACCTCGTGGGCATTTTTACTTACTGAATAACATTTTAATTAGGAACAAGGAGAAAATAAGATGTAAATTTTATTTCATTCCAGGAAGAGCAAAAAGAGTACTATTGTATTGAAAATGAAAAGAAACATTTATTTTTACTCAAATTTGTTTTTGTGGTAAGGTAGTCTAGAAGTAAAATGAGAAAACTATAAATACTTAGAAACTAGACATCAAGGCAAATTTTAACTATATTTTTATTAAAATATAATTGAATAGTTGATTTAGAATGGCACCCAGGACTTCATTTTATTGGTTCATTTGCTTGTGTAATGTATCAGTAAAGAATTGTTCTTCATACAGAAAAATACAGTGATAAAATAAAAATAATGCTTGCTTTTCTCTTAGGATACACAGTTTTAATTGGATTTAAGGCATTTGTATGAGTCTTTCTCTTTTTGCCTAACTTGTTAAAAATCCCCAGGTTCTTTAAGAACGTGCTCTTCTTGTTCTAAATGTTCCTTTATTTTATTTTTCAGAACTGCCTGCTGGTTGGGAAAAGATTGAAGACCCTGTCTATGGTATCTACTATGTAGAGTAAGTGCCTAATCCACACTTTAGTTTGTGCCCTCTGTAATTATGCATATTTATGCTGAACAGAGTTTGACATCATTATACTGTATAAACTAAATAATAATAACTTAATTTTATAATGAAAAAATATATGTATATTTTAATGAATGAGAAAATATTCAGCAAATAACAAGACAGCAAATTATGTTATGAAATTCATGAGGGCCAGAATTGTGTCTTTTGTTTACCACCCTATAACCAAGGCCCAAATCATCCTGGTGTATGGCAGGTACTTAATAAGTATTAGTTGAATGAATGAATGAATGAATGAATGAAAGAATGAACGAGAAAGGCACAGATTCAGTAGACCAAATAAATAGGAGTTATCTTTAGGAGAAGAACCGGTTTGTCTACTTTTTGCCCTGCTGAGGTCAGACTTTATTCATTCAGACTTTCTAAAAGGGTCAGACAGATCTTAATATTGTATGAAACTTTGCCAAGATTAAGAAGGAAATTGAGAACTAGCTAACGTGCAAGATCTTGTGTGCATCTTTGCCTCTCCCTTGCCTGAGGACATACAGATGGCTCCTGTTTTCCATTTTTAATAGTCTCAAACCCTCATCATAACCTCTTTACTAGGTGCCTCAGTCAAGCATTAGAAATACACTTTGTGCTTTCATCAAACCCATCAATTGGTAGAATGATACCAAAATAAAAGAAACCCAAACTATTAAACATTGAATAAATATGCTAAATATGCTTTATGTCATTTCTTCTGAGAAAGATGAGAAATAACTAATAAAAGATTCTTTGAAAGAAACAAATGCCATATAAATGTTCTGTCGTTATAAATTCTAGCTGCCACAGTGAAGATAACTGGCAAGCTTTCTGCACCTCACGCTGCTGGCAATGAAAAGTCATTTGTATAAAACCCTGGTGATAAGAACATATGATGCAAAAATGTAAGGTTGTAAAATGCTCAGCATCTTACTGTAAAAACATGAGTTTCATATAGCAAGTTTCTTTTGCCATGACATTGCCACCTCTTTACCTAACAAGAAGGATTGGTGATTTGGGGCATCAGAAAGGCCAGCTCAGTTGTTTCTCTGACCTTCATAAAATAAAGTTCTTATATGTGCCCTGTAGATCATCTTTTTCACAGACGTACAATGGGGTTCTTGCCTATTTGGGGCTCATTTTGAGTTTTCCCTCAACTAATTTGTGTATTAAGAGAAAAGGAATAGGTAACAACTTTGATAGATGAAGAAACTTATTTGAGGGGCTAGTTGTTGTCTTCCTATACAGTTCTCCTCTCTGTGTCTTTTCAGATCCACGTGCCTATTCATGTTAGACTATTTCTTAGCATGAAATTGCCTACAAGAATTAGGAAATAAACCAGTAGTCCTGCAATAGGAAATAAGGGTAATTGGTCTATCTACCCTATTCGACATGCTTGCCTTTAAAACTTAAAACCTGGCTTTAAAAAGTATTTCAACTCTAAACAATCACATAATAAGTATGTTCCCAAACTTCTAGTGAAGTATGATTTTGTTTATGCTTTTGTGTGTTTATATAACGTGTGTATGTACATACACATAAATAAGGCCATGGCAAAGAAAACGTATGTGTGTGTGTGTGTCTATGTATGTATGTATGTATGTATGTATGTATGTATGTATACATGTGTATGTGAGTACGGGGAGGGGGTGTTTATTTTGCCATGGCATTTTTAGTTTCATAGCCATCTGAAGTATCCGAGTCTTTGTCACTTTGAATACATTACGTTGCTTAGGTTAGCTGTATTTGGAGTCTATTTGCCTAAGGTTTATACTTTTAATCCTGACTCCATGTCTGTTGATCAGAATAGTTGACAGATGTAGGTAGATTCCTTCTTTTAACTTTATTGTGTGGGTGAATGCTTCCGTGAACTCTATCATAGAAAGTTACACAGCAGTTCTGGCATTATATGTTACAGACAACGTCACTTCTCCACTTTAATCTCATTTTTTAATACTTCTATAATCTATTTCGTGTTGAATTAAAGCAACTTGACTTATCAGGTGATTCCTTGAACATTTGGGAGTCGTGGGATTTGAATGCAGACAGACCTGAGTTTGCATGCCTCTTTACTGTTTACTAACTATGTTGTGTTAGGTGAGTTGTTAACTGTTCAGGAATTTGCTTTTTTTTAACAATCCATAAAATATAAATAAAAATAGGACCTAACTCCTGGCATTTATTGAAGATTTTAAAATAAAATGCATGTAAAACTTACAGCACAATGCTTGGTACATGTAAGTAGTAAGTGTTGGAAACTATTCACTTTTATTTCCTCTTCCTAATTGCACATTTTGACACAAGATGGTCAACATCTCAGACCACCTGCTTTGCTCAGTTCTAATCACAGGACTTGGCCTGACTGGCATTTTGCTTGTGAGATGAAATGTTTCCCAACTGAATCTTTTCTGCCTTCTGTTCCAGCCACATCAACAGGAAAACACAATATGAGAACCCAGTTCTAGAAGCCAAACGGAAGAAGCAGATTGAGCAGCAGCAGCAGCAACAGCAGCAGCAACCACAACAACAGCCGCAGCAGCAGCAGCAGCAGCAGCAGCAGCAGCAGCAGCAGCAGCAGCAGCAGCCACAGCAGCAAGAAGGTTGGCTTTCTCTTGATCTGTGGGCTGAGGAGCTCAGGGCGAAGCCTGGGCGCCAACACCCCCACGTGGTCAGAACTGGCCTTGAATAATCATGTCCTGCCATCCTGAGGACTTGATGTCCTGGTGGAAGGAATACAGAGCTGCTAGAGTTCCCTGCCCTGCAGCTCAGACAGCTCAAATGGGGGACCCAAATCAAAGGCAACCAAATCTCAAATGGAGAAAGGAAAGCTGTCTTTAAGATTGGAGACCTTTCTGATGGTGAAAGAATTTCCTTGCCCCAGCAGCATTCGCACACCAACTGCTGTCTAAATCTAAACCACTTTTAGCACTTTAAGAAGAATTACCGGATATGAAACTTTTAATTTTAAGAACATTACATGTGTGCATCACAGAAAGCTGATAATTTGAGTGCTTTTTAAAAACTAAGTTAATTCATGCTTTTTGTAGTGTAGAACATTAAATTCTCCCCCACTCGCTCCAGACCCATTCTCAACAGAAATTTTCTAGGAATGTACAAATATCCATATTTTAACAAAAATCATAATTTATATATATGTTTCGTGACTCATTTTTCTCACATAAATATATTTCTTGTACATAATTCAGTTAGTTAATATAGATTTATCTTATAATTTTTAATAGCTGCATAATATTTCATTTTATGAATATTTCTACTTAGCCATCTGTTGATTAATAGATGCTTAGGTTTTTCCCCAGTTTTCACTGCATACTTATAAAAAAGATAGGCTAATACACTCTCAATATAATATTTGATATCAAATATATGAGTGTCAAATATAACACTTACAATATAATATTGAATATCATAAATATAGACCATAGCATGGAAGGCAAACTTTTTCTGGGCAGATAGTAAATTTTGTGGGCTTTATTGTTCGTACAGTCTCTATTACAACTACCCATCTGTGCCCTTGTAGTATGAAAACAGCTATAGACAATATGTAAACAAATGAGCATGCAGTGTTCCAATACAACATGATCTATGGACACTGAAATTTAAACTTCATGTAATTTTCATGTGTTGTAAAATACTCTTTTTTATTTTTTTTCCCAATCATTCAAAAATGTAAAAACCATTTTTGGCTCAAGTTGTATAACACAGGCGTTGGGCCCAATTTTGGCCTTTTGACCATAATTCACCAACCACTACCATAGACTCTATGTGGGGCAGGTGTGTTTGTGTGTGTTTGTGTGTGTTCACTTATTGAAAAGTTCTCCTTTCTACCTTAATCTATTTTTTTATTTTAAAAAATATTTTTTTAATATTTTTTTCTGAGCTGGTGAAACTTGATATCGCAGTTTGGAGAATGAGAGTATACAACTAACTATGTATGTGCAATTGAATATGTTAATTGAGCTGGAAAGGAATCTAGGGTAAATATCAAGGGTCACTCACTGTGAGTTATTTCTGGGCTTCCAAGGGAAATACGACTGTAGTGAGGACCCAGGATTATTGGTAATGGGTCCCGTGTGGAGTTCAGAGATGATAGGAGATAGTATCTTAGCAAACTGCTGAAATGCACCTTCAGTACTTCAGACAAGCAGGCTTAGCAGTCCAACACATGCTCAAGTACATTTGAGAAGCTTCTCCCTTATTGGGCTGTCTTTAGTTGACTCTGTCTTTCTCGATGTTACTTGGTTTCACTTTTGACTCTCTAGCCAGAGAGTACTAAATATTTATTGGATATATCACAATATTTTTTTCCCTAAAGGTCTTAGAAAAGTGACAGAGACAGAGAGAGATATCTTGATATTCTTAACCTAGAGTGAGGTCAAATACCAATTTCTTTTTAAGTTCTTTGCCTCTGGTTTTATTGGTTTGTGTAATTTTATAATTAAGAAGAAGGTGAATCCCAAGTAAATTGACCATCCATTTGAAGGGAAAAGCAGTAAACCGTTTCTTCTCTTTCTTGTAGAATGGACGGAAGACCATTCATCGCTTGTGCCTCCTGTTATTCCTAACCACCCCCCAAGCAATCCAGAGCCGGCCAGAGAAGCTTCACTTCAGGGTAAAGTATTTTTATAATTGCATCATAATTTTAGCTCAAAAGTTTAATTTTAAGGATATTTTAAGAAGTTGAATTTTGTAACTCCCAGCTCATTCCTTCAATAGCAAAAACCATAATGATTGAAACTTTAAATGTATTGTTAATCAAAATTGTCAAAAAAATTAGAAACTTTTCTGTATGAATTTCTTCAGCTATTTGTAATGCTCTAAAAGTAATGACTGCTTGTTATTAAGGATCGATTAAACCAGGGTTTATCAACCTCAGTACAATTGACATTTTGAGTCAGATAATTCCTTGTTATAGGGACTGTGTTATATATACACATTGTAGGTTGTTTAGCAGCATCCCTGACCTCTACCCATAAGGTACCAGTAGCGCCCCTTCTCCTGTTATGACAAAAAATGCCCCTAGGGGGCAAAAATATCCCAGAGTTGTGAACCACCAATTTAGAGACCACAGATATTTATTATTGTGCTAAATAAAATAAATTGAAAACTTGGCATTAGGTATTTTAAGATTCTAGTCAACATATTTGCTTTTAACTATAATTTTCCTATAAAAGTAAAATGGTTTGATATTATTGTTTTACATTCTCATCTCCTGTTCTTACTGCACTTCTGGCATTTATGCATGTTTTACAGCATTTCATTGGGTCTCACTTATTTACATTCACAAATAGTTATGAGCCCCCTAGAGAGGCTAATTTTTGAAAATTGAAAGCTCCAGAATCTTGCTATTTTCAGGCCTCATTATTTTTAAATGATAAAAAAGATTTTTTTTGCTGTTTATTTGTTTAGGTTTTTTTTCTTTTAAATAAGAAAAAGAGAACAAGCATCATATTTGATGACGTTGAGGAATGTGGTGCAGAACTATTAATATGCCTATAAAATTTGTCTTCCTTTTCATTTTAAAAGAGATAATAGTTGTGTTAGATATAAAAAGATGAGTAGAATAAGTATTTTCTCTAATTTGATTCCCCTATTATCATTTTCAAAAGAAAGAAGTTGTTTCCCTGCTAGCTGATATTGTCATGAGATTAGTATTAATATCAGTTTATGTAAAATAATTTCTGCTGGCTTGGATAAACCTTTTTATGGTGATAATGGCTTTAACAAAGATAGAACATGGTAGATAATAGCATATTAATTAGTATCAACATGATTGTGGCCTCCCCTGTATTTTTTAAGTATAAAAGTCCTTCTGCAGCCTCATATTGTCTTATTTCCCCCTCTCCTGATGTTAGCTACACTAACTTCTCAGTTCCTTGAATCTCTTTTCAGTTCCTGGAACCAGCAAACCTTCGACCATGTCAGATCCTTTGCATATGCTGTTCACTCTGTTCACAGTTGTCTTTTCCTCCTCCTGTTTGCTTTGCTAACTCCTTTTCATCTCAGGTCATTGTCAGGTTCCCATGTTATATTCACTCTATCCATCTTATTCTCTTCATTTATAGAAGTAACATTTTATAATTAGTGCTTGTATATGTTCAGTTTTTTAATAGTTTCCTTTTTACTTTAAATCTCACAGAGGCAGGAGAAAATATATATATATATTTACTGTAGGATACTCCAAACAAGATAATATCCCTTTGCTACCTAGTTTCTGCTGAAATTTATTATGGAGTGAAACGATATACACATACGTACATATATATATACATATATGATAAGTAGAACAGCTTCCTTAAAGAATTGTCTTAGAGATTAAAATTAAAGCTTTAAAGGTTCAGATTCTGGGTTGCAAATGCTTAGTGCACCATCTCAGGGAAGGGTCAGATGGTATGTGTCTGTGTTGGGAGCATCATCTCAGATTCCTTCTTTTTCCTACACCGTTTTTTGTTTTATTTTTTCTTTTCTTCTTTGACTCCCTTCAGTCCCATAGTGGTTTGGAATTTGGGAGAAATTCACTGAACTCTCCTTGGGAACCTTTCATGTTTCTTATAGCCTTTCTACTATGTAATTTCCATGCTAATCCTTTTCTTTCAAACAGTTATAACTTTGCCACAGGAAGTGCTATTGGACTGGTCTAGAGTCTTCACACAGTAGTGCCAAGAATAGTAACAGCCTGACAGAGAAACACGCACCTAAGAGTTGTTCAAAAGCAGATTTTTAGCCCAAGCCCCAGAAAATCCTGATTCAGTGAATCTAGAGCAGGCCCTAAAAATGAGTATATTAAAAAAGCTATCCAGGTGACTCTCACACATAACAAAATCTTACAACTGGCAACTAGCCAACAGACTAGACTCTCTTAGAAAATTATGTGTACCACAGGGCTACAGCAAAGAGCTCCAGATTTCACTGCATATGGGTAGAAAAGCGTTTCTTTTCCAAAGCTACATTAACTGATGGCCTGCCCATACGTAAAACAATAAAACGTACATAAATGTGATCTTTCCTCCCTAGTTAAGCATTGAAAAAGAATGTCAGTGATGTAATTTCAAAGCTCCGCTAATGTCTGTATTAAGTCGAAAACATTTTAAGCTCATAATATACTAATGGCTTTAAAAAAAAATTCATTCAAGTAAACTGCTAGGCACATTTTCACATCTTCTAACTTTGCCTAAAATAAGGATGAAAAGCTTATACTCCCACCTCTTTTAGCCTTCTCAAAGACATATTAAATCTCATTTCTTTGTGCTGTTGCTGATTCATTCAGTGTACATTGGATATACAAGCAGAAATCCTCATGGAGCTTACATTCTAGTGGTTGTATGTACGTGCATGTGCAGTGCCTTTCATGCAAGGGGGTGGGGGAGAGTGAGACAAAACACCAAACCAGTGAGTGACATATAGACTGTTTTGGGTGGTGATAAATGCTAAGGACAAAAATAAAGCAGGAAAAGGAGATTGGGAATGGTGGAGGAGCTATCGCAGTTTTTAATATGGTGGTTCGAGAAAGCCTCCTTTAGAAGGTAATGGCCGTTGGCATCTCTGCATAGCTGCAATGTGTTTCCCATTCAAGCTCTCTAAACCCCCCCAGCAGCCTCTGTCTCAAAAATTCACATACACCCCAAAGTAAAATTTGGGGGTAACCTCACTTGGCCTCAGTTTTTCATCTGATAATTGCCATAATGCCTGTCTCTCCATAAGCCCTGACTGCAGCTGACATCATCTTCCCGGTTCCTTGGCAGATGACCTTACATAGTGAATCCTACTATGCCTTTACTTTCTTTAGCCACAGTGATAGGGCTGTAGTTTGTCAAGCTTCCAACCAGCCTTGAGACTGCACCAGAGAAGAGGAGGTTAGTGAGCAGACCTATGACTCTAAACAATTTAAAAGGGCCTTTTTGAGAGCCAGAAACTTTTGAAATACATAATTAGAAATTATATATCTGCCCAGAGACCTTTTTAAAAAGACCTTTTAGATATACCTAACTAAAAATCATTTCCTTCTTGTGTACCAGACTCTAATACAAGAGTTATAGAGACTTTTCTCCTGTTTTGTTTTGTTTTTTAAATAGCACTTTTGATAGAAAAGAAATAAGGCACATGAGGAAGCTGTGGTAAGGACAGGAGATAGAATTATAATTAGGAGAGCTGAAATTATGTTCACTATTGGGGATAACCAGAGAAATTCTAGTGAGTTTCTCAATTATAGTGAAATGCCCAACTAACAAAACCCAAAACAAAATTTTTGATTTCTGTATAAATTTTATGAATGTTATCAAGAAAATTCAATAAAACATTAGGTAGCATATTTGGAAGTTAATCAGCTATATATCTTTTAATTTATTTTAAAGAAGACAACTGAATTCGGAGCTATATGGCTCTTGTTAGTAACTATTTCTGTTTAGTTTAGGTTTCTTTATTTTTGTTTTATTTTTTAAAAATATTCTAAGCCACATGTTTTAAGCTTTTTTTTAAACAATAAATTTTAGCATTGGAAATGTCCAGGCTATTTAACAAATTGTTAAAAGATGCAAATTAACAAGAAAAATTTGTTGAATCCAGAATTCAAGTCAAAGTAAACCTATAACTTTTAATTTTGGAAGTAGTGATTCTACATTTTTATCAAATTGTTCCTTGTGACTATTCAGTATGTTTCTTAGTGTTATCTATGTATTTTCAGAATGAGTTTTCTGTTTGATTAACAGCTAAAGTTTTTGCTGAATTGGTTTTACAAGTGGAAGCCAAACCCAAAGGCAACACATTGGAAGCTGAATTGCATAATATAAACTGTAACAAAACAAAATCCATCAAGCAAAGGACCCACATTTTCTATGAAGGACTTCATGCAGCTTGATTGCTGTCAAACTATGTGAACTGAAACCACGGAGTATATTAGACGATGGACACCAATTTCATCCATCTCTCATTTTCTTTTGGATCTTCATGCTGACATGCTATACATACTATCCTCCCTCTTTACACAAAGGGGCCTAGGATCACTCTTACTACTGAAATCAAGAGAGACCTTTCTTAAGACACCTATGTGCCCAAATGCCTCAGCGCAGGAGCTTGGAGAGTTATCTATAAGTTGCATCATTTCTTATATAATTTACTTTTTCACTCATGGTAACATTCATTATGTTCTTCTTGTTTTCATCTAGGCAAACCCTTTTTTACACGAAACCCTTCTGAGTTGAAAGGCAAGTTTATTCACACGAAGCTGCGGAAAAGCAGTCGTGGCTTCGGCTTCACGGTCGTCGGAGGGGATGAACCTGATGAGTTTCTGCAGATCAAGAGCTTGGTCCTAGATGGTCCTGCTGCATTGGACGGCAAGATGGAAACAGGTAGAGATACTACATGGCCCAGTAGCATTTCCTGTGTGGTGGGTGAGATTCCTACCTGGAACCTGAGCAAGACCAAGCAACAGCATGATTGTATGAATTTCTAAATGTCCCTTAAAAACTTTACGAATGAGCGAGATTCCTCCACTACATTAAATGTATTCCCTGGTATAGATTAAGTCCTTTGAAGCCATTTTAACTCTGGGGAACTGTTAGGGTGCTATTGAGAATAGTAGAGCAGTAATTTAGTAAAAAAAATGTAGATCTGTTTGAATAAATTGATTCTAAACTTGGATTTCTGCATAAGAAATTTTTTTAGATGAAAGCCCCAATGTTTTTCAGTGATCATTATATTCTCACTAGCAGGGAAGACACTAGATGCTAAAAGAATGCCTTATCAGTAGTTAAAATAAGTAATAGAAGCAGTCTCTTTGTGCCCTACAGGACTACCCCCAAATCTAGCATTAGTTTGGCTTCTTAGTGGTAGGATTTTATATTATAATATCGATATAATTTTCTAGGCGTTTTTGTCTTTTTTTAACTCCCAAACTCTTTTTGCAGGAGATGTAATTGTCAGTGTGAACGACACCTGTGTTTTGGGACACACGCATGCACAAGTTGTGAAAATCTTCCAGTCCATTCCCATTGGTGCCAGCGTGGACCTTGAACTCTGCCGAGGTTATCCATTGCCTTTTGACCCAGATGACCCCAATACGAGTTTAGTGACCTCGGTGGCCATTTTGGATAAAGAACCAATCATTGTGAATGGGCAAGAGACCTATGATTCGCCAGCTAGTCACAGTAGTAAAACAGGCAAAGTCAATGGAATGAAGGACGCCAGGCCAAGCAGTCCTGCTGATGTGGCTTCAAACGGTTCCCATGGTTACCCCAATGACACTGTCTCTTTGGCTTCCTCCATAGCCACTCAGCCAGAACTCATAACTGTTCATATAGTGAAAGGGCCAATGGGCTTTGGTTTTACTATCGCGGATAGTCCTGGTGGTGGTGGCCAAAGGGTGAAACAGATTGTTGACAGTCCGAGGTGCCGAGGCCTGAAAGAAGGGGATCTTATAGTGGAAGTAAATAAGAAGAATGTGCAGGCTCTGACTCACAACCAAGTTGTGGATATGCTGATTGAATGTCCAAAGGGAAGTGAGGTCACATTATTGGTGCAACGAGGAGGTACGTAGGTTTATTTTGTTTGATTTTTTTAAAACCCATAATCTTTTGTTTAACTTACTGGTATTCAGATGGCTATTCAAGGGCTTTAAATGTTTGGAAATGCATTTAAAATGCCTTCTGATTACTTCAAATGCTAGTGTCTTTGGGATAAGGGTTGTGTTTATACATTATGTTACATACATGCAAAAAGAGTGATACTCTTAAATGTAAATCAGATTGTGCTTTTTAATAACCATTAAGATTTTAAAACTTAATCTTTAATTCTCCTGAACCTGGTGTACATGCAAAATATGGCTCCTGGCCACTCTTCCAACCTCATCTCACAGTCCTCTACCCTACTCGCTATGCTTTAGTCATCTGGCTTTTTTTCTGAAGTGCCTATAGCACTCCAGGTCCTTTCTGTCTCAGGGTCTTTGCACTTCCTGTCCCCTCTGCTTGGAATGCTCTATTCTCAATTCTTCTCTTGGCTGGTTTAGTCTCATTCAAGTCTCCTCCTAAAAGAAGGCTTCAATGATCACTTATCTAAAGTAGTCCCCCAATACCTCCGTGTAATATCCATCCTATTTTTTCAAAGTCTCTATCATGATTATTACCACAAGTAATTGATTTGTTTATTTATTGGTTTATTTTTGTTATTTTCTCTTTTTCACTAGTATATAAGATCCATAAAGTCAGGGGCCATGTCTACATGTTGACTGCTGTATCTCCAGCATTTAGCACAATACCTGACTCCTGCTCTAGGTATTCATGAATAAATTGGTATTGAGTGAATGAATGAATGGATATTTGATTATTTATATTTGTCAGGAATAATAGCTCCACCAATCATATCAAAAACTTATCTCAGCATACCCACCATTTAATGAAGTGGTTAAGCATCTTAGCGGAGCAGGGTATTCTAAATCTTGAGATGATACACTTCCTTTTATTCCCCTGTCTGCACCCCCCACCCTTGCCCCACCAGAGCTCCCAGGACCTCACACTGAGAAATATTTTCCATGATGTTGAAATGTCTTGCTTCTGGATATGTATTTGTGACTAGTCTTGATTGATCACTTCATACAATGGACCTGAGATTGGTTGTTCCCCTGATCCTTGCCAACATGATTTGTTTCATGCACAGCATATTCCGACCCCCTGAAAAGAGATGAGGAACCAGACTTTTATTTCCTCTTGGTTCTGTTACAACAGGGGAGCTCATTTATGTCACAGCAGCCATGTTCTCATGCTCTCGTGAAACTCTGTGCTCTGTGATCACTGGAAAGAAATCTAAAATTCAGAGCAACTGTCTGTGTAAATCGAAATGTTCAGTCAACCTTTCTTGAACAGTTAAAAAGCCATTGTATAGATTTTACTCTTAAAAATGCTTTCTCACAATAAAATTTTGAAGTCTCTTATTGTACCTAGGTCACTTGACTGCACAGATAATTGTTTTTATAACAGTGACCAAGATGTAGTAGGAAGTGATTTGAGTATAAGGATGATAATGATGACACCTGGACTTATAGATAAGTTGGCAATTTACAAAACACTGTCATACTGTCATGTGCCTCTCAACTCATTTTTCCCATGTCCCTGAAAGGTAGGAAGGCGTCAACCCAAATATGACTGAGAAGTTCACCTCCAGTCTGTAGTTTCCAGTCCAGTGCTCTGCCCTACATAACTCTAAATTACACTGATTTTTGCATAATTGCTGATTCCTGAAGCCAGCAACTTGGAAACTTTTCAATAGTTTTTAGTTCATCAGAGGCATGATTCATCCACTGCTCATCTGATGGTCACAAACTACTCTGCTTTCCTACCGTATTTTATTTATTCCTTCATTTCTTTTGTTAATGTATTCAGTTCTTTTTTAATTAAATTCACTTTTAAGGAGACCAAAAAATAAAGTCTCATTACAATCTACTAACTTACAATAGTTTATAGAACCATGTTATAATGAATATGCCAAAACTAGAAAACAACTGATTATAGAAATACATCCCTTGATTTCAAATACGTTTGCATTCTCTCTTCTTAATTTTTGCGAACTTCTTTTTGTTAATGGCATTACATTTCATAACATTAAATTAATATGGAAAGATCCAGAATATATTGCCACATTAGTCAACATCTACATAGTTTATTCTAAAACCTGAGTAATTTAAAATCACTATAACATCAGCAGTCTTTAAAATACACCATATGCCTTGTGTTTGATTTATGTATCGGATAGGAAGTTTACACATCTACAGTTGACAGGCTAGCAGTAGCTACTATTAATCTTTCTAGAAAACATATAAATATATTTATTTCTGCCATACATTAGTTAATTGAATCAGCACTGACATTTTAATCATCGCTCCTGTACGGTAGGGGGCGTATAAATGAGAAGGTTGGATGAAACAACAAAGAGAGCAGCTATGTTAAGTGAAAGAGTAAATGGCCATTTCTCTGATTCTTTCTAATGAATCTCATTTCTGTCATAATTCCTAGTAAGCAGGTTGATAAATTCATTAAATCTACACAGTTTGTGATGATCAGGAATCTAGATCTCTAAGATGAGGCTTTCTATGCTTTAAAGAAATGGCTTTTTCTAATTTAGGGCATAACTGGCTACATTTTTATTTTGTTTTAATGTTTAATCTCACAAGCTCATTTTTTGATATTTATTCGTGTAAGGTACATTTTGGTTTTTAGTGTTTTTTACCCCCCCTCCCCCTCCATCCTGGAAATCAAGCAGAGATTAGGATATCATTTGTTAGTTTCTAGGGTCAGACAGTTTCCTGGATCAGAGTTGCTGATGATGTCCATTTATATGGCCCGGCAGCTGAGATCATTACTGATTTGTTTACAAATCTCTTCCCTATAAACGTGACCCTGCCTACTGGTCTGTTGTCAGTCAAGTTCTTTAAGGAACAGCACCTTCTTCCTGTGCCTAGCTCCCCATCTTCCTATGGCATGTTCTTTCCTCCTTCTCCCTCTGCTGTCCAGTCAGGAGAATGCTTTTTATTATTTTTTTTCCATATCATTTGCATTCAGACAGCCTGTACCCTGACACCAGTGTGAGTCTAGAGACATTTTTTTGAGGTATTTGAAAAATCACCGTAGAAGGTGATTGCTATTAAAAAAAAAAAAAAAAAAGTTGTATTTTTAATTTACAAAAAGATATAATAGAATTTGGCCCATAAATGTTGTTTTACTTTTTAAGAGGAGTTATATTATAGCATATAACTACCGTGTGCCTCTAAGTAAAACGTGTTTTATATTTGGCTAATTCAACATCAATTAGTAGGTGGAACACTCTTTAAGATGTAATTTTGGGTTGAATCAGAGTACTCTGTTTCAAGAGAAGATTTGACAATGCTTTATGAAAGTTGAGAATGTATGAAGTATGTTTTACTTTTGAGAAAAAGTATATACTGAAAAGAAAGCTGAACTGAGGGTGTCAGAAGCCAGCCTCTAGTTTAAACTCTGCTCTTCGCTGTTCTGTACCTCTGATTAGGTTACTACTCCTGCCCTGTGACTCATTTCTTTATCAAAAAAGGATGATTTGCACTAGATCATCTTTAGAGTAATTCCTTTTGGCTCTGATTTTATGCAAAGAATGACCTCGTGATACATTCGAAAACAGTATTTAACTGAGCAAATGATAGAGATCTTACTGGCTTTATTCAGTGATTTGTGAATCAGGCAGCATCCCATCTAGCAGATAGGAAGGAGTTCCAAGGAGCTGTACAAAATGAAAGACTTTTCTAGGAAGAAGAGAGCCAGACAGGAAGTTTTACTAGTAAAAAGTAGAGTGGTTGTACTAGGCCACCGTCGTTTAGGAGATATCAGGAACCCTTTTCAGGCAGATTAGCTCAGTAGTGCTGACCAGGTAATTGCGTGTTGGCTGGTTTAAGATTCCATCCCTGGGAAAAGCCAAAACTGTTAAGTCTGGATTCATTGACACAGGACTTAGCATAAATGACTCCATTTGGGGCCTATTGTCTTGTTTTCAATAGTTGTTTAGAGAGAAATGAGCACAAGATTCTAGAGCCAGGTGATACAAGTTTAAATCCCAGCTCCTGCATTTACTGGCTGTGTGATCTTAGGCAAGTCATCTGAAAACATGGGAATGATAATACGTACTTTGCACATGCCTGTGCATGACAAAAATAAAATAAGGTAGCATTAGTGCTAATTCCTGACATAGAAATAGTCACATGGTAAATCAGTGGTATTTTACTGACATTGCCCGATATCAGAAGCAACTGGGTAAGGGGTGGCTTTTTAATTATTAAAAAAAAAAAGAAAAGAAAAGAAAGGAAAGAAAGAAGGTAGAAAGGAAAGAAAAGGAAGAAAAGAAAGAAAAAGAAAGAAAGCTCCAGCCTGGACCTACTGTATCTTAATCTCAGTGTGTGACCATCAGGCATCAGTATTTTTTTAGAAGCTCTGTTAGCTATTCTAATGTACAATCAGAGTGGTAACCAACGTTAGGCTCTTACGCTCGTGGATTCTTCTAATTTTGATTTTATGGCTTATAACTTGTGGGGCAGAGGCCGGGGCAAAGATAAGTTTATAAAACTAAACAATTATGTTTATTTCTGAGTAATATTCTTCGTTTTAAAGTCTACTTTATACAGAACAAGTTGTTCAGTTTTCCCTAAGGTCCATTTCAGCTCCCGAATTCTACATTTTTCTACGTCTGAGGAGAATAGAAGGGAGGACTTGATTTGGGAGATGTTCGATTAGAACACAGTCTCTCAATGGCTTTTGCTGATCACGACAGTAATAGAAGTGATGTTTTGCTTTCCACTTGCACAGACTGCATCCTGAATGCTTTTGTCAGGTCGCTCAGTATAATGTAATAAAATGTTAGAGTTTGATTCCTGGATGGCAGAACTGTGTTCACCTTTACCACTTATATCCCTGGTACCTCATGAGGGAAAAGGCATGTGGTAAGGCCTCAGTAAACACTAACTGAATAAATTAAACTGGCTCCACACATCACAATAGAAAATGAATCATATGGCTTT